AGCCATAGGCAGTATATAGCCAAATGAGGGTGGCTGTGTTCCAGTAAAATTCTGTGGATATGATGTTTGAATTTCTTATAATTTTCAGATGTTACAAAGTATTACTTCCCTGATTTTTTTTTAATCATTTAAAAATGTAAAAATGATTCTTTACTCACAGGCCTTATCAAAATAGATGGTGGGCCAGATTTGGCCCGTGGGCTCTAGTTTACAGACCCCTGGTCTAGAATCTAGATCAAAATATGGGTTCTTCTGAAACTTTGAACAAGTAAGACTTTTGCTTAATAAGTTCCTTCAGTTCAGTGTGTTTAAAAGTATTCTAAGTCCAAAGCCAGACACAAAAGGGTTGTTTGCTTGCTTGCTTTCTTGCTTTTTGAGCCATAAATAGTTATTTTAGAAATAATATTAGCTCCAGTTAGATTAAATTGAGTGTAGTATGGCAGAAAGAACAATGAATTGAGAATTGGGACCACTGGATTCTAGCCTTACATGGCAGCACATGAATGTGTTGGGGAGGAGAGGTTTATCTAATCATACACCTTCTCTGGGCCTCATGTTCTTTGTGTAAAAAATGAAGGGATTTGATTAGACTAGTGGTTCTCAGGGTGTGGTCCATGGACCCTTTTGGGGTCACAGAGAACCTTTTAGGAGGTCTGCAAAGGCAAGAGATTGTTGGTCTTTTTTACCATGCTGATATTTTCACTGATGGTACAAAAGCAATGGTATACATGCTTGGGTCCTACCACAAATCAAAGCCATGTCAACAGATGACTAGCAGTCATTCTATTCTTCACTGTTGTGCACTCAGGTAAAAATAAAAATAAAACTCGGCTTTACTTAATAACATCTTTGATGAAGCAGTAAAAATGATTTTACCTGAAGAGTAGGCAGGAAGACTATATGTTATTGAGATGGGTATCTGGCTGATATTTTCCTTAATGGGACAAATGATGTTGTCACTGCAAGAAAAATAATCAAAGTGATTTACTGGCAATGTTAAAAGTTGAGCTTTCAAGCAAAAATTAGAATTTTGGGAAACTTGTATTTATCCGGCACAGTGACTTACCAGCTTATCAGTACTTAATGAATTTTTCTGATGAGATTAGTGGTGATATTGGCACATGCTTTTCTTTCTTTTTGGGTGGTGTATAGTGAAACATTGCTTGACTCAGTGAGCCAATATTTTTCAAATGACCAGTGATGTTACAGAAGCATACAAGGGTAAGGGACACATTTCAAAATGCAAG